TCAACAGGTGAAAGTGCAATTAAATGTTCCTGTGAATGAAACGAATTACCCATTGTAACTCTGCACATAAATCGCATTTTATGCTTAAAACGACAAATAATATTACCCGTTTATTACGTTTTCAAAAGTGGCTGGCCGGCTGGCATTTAAATTCACGTTAAAACGTGACTTGGCGTAAAATCACTTCTCTGTTCACTTCTTACGGTTACCTCTATCGGATAATTACGGCGCGTTCCACTTCTGTCCGTTAGATCAATAGTTCTTAAAGATGGTAAACGATTACAGATGTCCTGAAATTAACGAGCGAACGCGCCAGTGTCACGCAACACGCGCTGAGCACGAATACACGCGTTCCGATACTCTCCGTAGCTTGATCTCGATTTAATTAACAGCAACGTGAATTCTAGACTCTAATTCGAAGCGGCGCGGCGTCAGGCAACTCTGAAATGCAAAGTGTTCCGGCTTCGAAAGCACGAACTAATATTAAAGCAACTTTAGCTACTACATCTACGTCATCGATTAAATCCAAAGAAAGCTACGCCGGTTAATACGCAATTACTTTGGGTAAATACGTAATTATAAAACCAATCTCGCAGTTATTCGCGGTTTTGAATCACGAATTACCAAATGTTCTGTCAACGTGACGTAAATAAGCTACATTCTCTTGTGCAGCGAAATTTCAGATAATTGAACGTAGAATAGTCTGTTCTAATTACGAATTAAAAGTTTGGAGGCTGGTGGAATTATGGATTATGGTAGAATGAAGAATTTCGAGGCTGGCAGAATTATGAATTACGGTAAAATAAAAATATTGGAAGTTTAATCGTACTGTGGTTCGAATGAAGTGGCAAAATAATTCTTTTATAGTCTGTTTTAAGTATTTAATATTTTTCTTGAACCACGGCATGTGTTATGTGTGATTAAAAAGTACCTTAGTATCGGAGAATCTGTTATTTAACGTCTGCTTTATTTCTAAAATATTTATTAATTAAACAAAGAATCTGTTTGCCTCTATTTTAGAGATAATTTATCTTATTTTATTATATAGCCTCTCCTCGCTTTCAAATAAAACAACCATCTAATAAATTTATTAATATCACCTCTACTTAAAGAAGAATTTAAACGGGGGTATTTAAATTCTTAATAAACGAAGTTCTTCTCAAAAGTACAATAGTGTACATTCCACTTAAACCACTTCTCGTCCGAGCTTTATTTTCTACTGGAAGAAAAAAGAGAAAATCCACCGGAAGCGGTGAGAATTGTGATTGAAAAGATTCTTCTTCCCTAAGGGGATGTGAATAACTTAATAACTGTGACCATGCCTCGTAAGAAAGACGAAATGTTTCGTCGCGTTAACGGGGATGGTGTTCAGTCACCAGAAACGTCGCCAGACCAAAGCTCCAATTGTCTGCTCTCTGAAGGAGTAAATCTGCCAGACAGTCACGGTCCTTTTTCTCGGAATCTGTAAAGCAGGGTGTCGAAGTTTCAAACGAGAAAGGCGTGTTCGTATGAAAGACGGCGAGACAAATGAAAGGGTAGCGCGCGTGTGCGCGTTAATGCTCGCTCCACAGGCAAATATAATATCTGCACCTCGAGGATCTAGAAAAATATAGACATTTCAAGAAGACGATCTCGCGAAAAAGGAGAGAAAAAACGTCTGAATGGCGCGAGAGGGGAGATACGACATAATAATTGTACGGAGAAGGGTAGTAGACGAGCTGACAGTATTAATATCACGGAAGCTTCTTCACTATATCTATCTACCACCTTGTTACGAATCTTTTGCGAAATAATTTACGGGAGTTGCGCGACATCAAGTCGGAAGACTTGCGGTTCGTTAAAACAGCCCACGGCTTAATATCGATTTAGGCCCTCAACAAAGGATCAGCCGTTGTTTGTACCCAGTTTATCCTCCATGAAAACTTACACGAAAGTGTCTGAAATAAACTCGCTGAATATAGCCACGTAGCGAATTTTTCCAACAGAACACGTCACAACCACACATATAGGCAACTTTATTCCCCAATGAACACCGTGGAAACGTGCTTATTTGCATTCTCCTACGAACTTTCCCTCGTAACACTCTCAACTTCTGTTTTAGTTAAAGAAAGTTATCTTTCGAATCGAGCGAATTGTGGTGGAAATTCTGTTGCTGTCGTTTCACTAGATAACAGCAATCTGTACGTTCCTCACAAATTGTCACGTGAAATCAGTTGAATTTTCATTCGTGTTCACCGCTCGCTTCGATCATCAAGAATTGAATTATTCTTTGGGAATAATTGAGAAGGTAACCAAAGTGAATCTCGTCGACTGGAACATATACCGAGTTCCACTCGTCTGGAATTATCGACGTAGAGCTGAAAAAAATGTTCCCAGGCGTATCCGAAAATAGTCTTCGTCTTGGAGTTTTATCGGTAACTCGCATCCATCCAATTTCTTTCTCGATTTAACGCGGCCGCGTCATGTAATGGGCTACCATGGACTGGCTTCTGCCAGATAGGATGTATACACGCCGACACAATGTTCTCTGGACGTATTCGATAGCTTCTCGCAGGCTTCGTTCCGCGTTGCCACGAAATGGGTCGCTGATTGAAAATTGCCGGGTGCACGTCGTATCTGTGAACGCGCGTCCTGTCGATGACTTAGCGTCAAGAGAGAGAGGTCGAGGGTGAACCGTAAAATTAGACCCCCGTGAGTTTGCGAAATTACGATACGCTGCTTTCACTTATTTAGATTCTTTCGCCTATTTGTTTCGCCTATTTTCGTGCAATAATTGAAAAAACGAGGGTCCATTTTTTCATGGACGTATTCTTCATCGTAGAATTCAGCTATGTGTTTGGACATGAGACGAGAGTTCCGAGTTATCGACGTTTAACCCTTTCGCTGAGAAAGACGTACAAGTGTTCGCTCAATTAAGAAGAGCGTACATATACGCCCGTCTGATACTCATATACAATTTATTTATTTATTCTCGTATTTCACGAATGAAATTCGCTGACGACTGAAAATTTGGTAATATCAGAATGCATCAGACACTTGACTATCGTGAAACAGTTGATTTTCAATCGTAGGTGTATTTAATTTTATGTCAGTGTTGAATAATAACTGCTTTGTCCAGTACTTTTGGTGCAGCGAGAATTTTCTTTGGCAAGCGAGAAAGAGTTAAAGCAATATAAAATACATGCGAACAAAAGTGAAGGTATTAGTGTTTGTACAAAAAGCAAAATTTGATTCTCGCTCTTTGTTTTAGAACTTATGAATAAAATAAGAATTATTTAATTGTGAGATTTCACACTGAATCATTTTTTTCAGAATCTCCGTAATGTTCTAACGACTGTTTATGCTTGCACCACGTTCAATAAGTGTCGTAATACTTATAGTCGGGAGTGTACATGTGCTACCTACCATTGATTCGCCGTTCTATATTTCCCTGCGTCCCTCTTTGTTTCGTTCTACGTGAAATAATCGGAATCGCGCGAGACACGCTTTAGGAAAGGCATATTAAGTCACAGTTCAATTCACCGCAGCTACGTACTTGCACTTTTACACACGCACACCTTTTTGTCCACACGTGTGTAGATCCTTTCTTGGAGGATCAGCGGGGTGTAGAGCATGATTAAGAGCGAAATACAGGCACGCTGGTCAGAATAATAGGAGAGCTTCGTCGGTAGCTTTTCCATTTACGCTCGGTTTCAACATTGTTCAAAGATTATTCTGCTTTCGTTACTTTTTCCCACTCTGCACAGTTCCAATCTTCTTGCTTTATCGCGCGCACACACGTTACCGCAGACGAGAACGTTCCTTAGATATTTCAATTTTCACGGATCTCCGTCGGAAATTACAACGATCGAACAGCGCACACTGTTATCCAATGCAGAATTCACCGTGTTTTTTTCTTACACGATCGTAATAACGACGATCCGGTGATTTCGCCAACTACGTCCGAAAAATCCGGGAAAGAAATGCACCACCGCCGCGAAAATCGATCGAAACTGCCTGAAATTTACTGCAGGGCGGCGCACAGTGTTTTGAAACTTCAAAACGCCCGTCTGACTGTGCAAAGGCTGTTATTTAATTTTCGTTTTTTTTTTTGTTTTCCTAAATCTCTAAGGATTATTAATCTGTGTGTCAATTTCTATAAAAGTTGCTTAACCTTTTCATTTCTCTTGGCGCCTATAGGGGCTTTGAACATTTTTAATCCTTCGTTTTTGGCGTTTGCGCGCTTCCAGCTTAATTTAACAAATGATATTTAAAAACGAGAAATTTTGAATTTCAACTTCGACATATTTTTAAAATTTTGAAACGCCTGAACGAAAGATTTTGCAGCCGTGATTAAATATCTATCGCATGCCACGCGCGTTGCGTATGAATATCTGACGCAGCGAAAGGGTTAAATAGGGTAATATTTACAATGAAATCTGTAATTCCTAGCATCTTTAAAAATAAATCTTTCTGTTGATATTAACAGTAAATTGCTTTACACATCATGGATTTTATAGAAGAAGTTGTACACTTTAATTATGCCACAGGAAGATTTAAAAAATTTCACGACACTTCACAGTAGACGTACTCAAAGATAGCAAATTTTTAATTACACGAATTTTAACCGGAGGCGTAATAACTTTCTTATAAAAATAAAAATTCGTAAAATAAATGTTTGTCCGCGATTTTGGAAGAATTCGCCAGTGTGCGGCGTTGAGCGCATCCGTTCACCAGGTCAAGTATAATTCACGAAGCAAAGAACTCTTGTGAACCTAACTAGGAAATTTTTCTTTTAATTGACATTTCCACCTGATTGTTGTATCACGTTGCACGGAGATCGCAAGAACGCCGGGAATAGAAAAGGTTCGACGCTGTTAACTGTTACAGGCGTTTCGAGAAAAGAAAAAAAAGAAGAGGGGTGGAGATGAAATGAAACGACATCCGGCCATGTGGTGCTCACGGAGCCGTGTTAAAAAATAAAATAAAAGGTAGAGAAGCGAAGGAGAAATAAAACTTACCTCGCTTCGATGACCACGAAGGTTGTAATTTGCCCTCAGTGGAAGTTCCGTGGCCCTCGTCCGACAATGGGACGTAGTAAAAGTCACCCCTACCAGACCACGGGCGTTACCAGTGGCCAGCCATCCTTCCTGATAGTAATTTGTACGGTCTAGTTTCCATCCTTCATCCTGTTAAATAACAGAGAAACCGCCCTTATCACCATTTACGTGTTTATTGAAATGCCTCAGGCTGCCAATTTACGGGAGCTTGCAAACAGTTCTAATACCATGTAATACTGAAATAGTGGCGAGAGATAATTAATACGTGAATTCAATTTTTTAATGTGTAGTTACGATCGCGACACACCTTGCAGGATGTTGAAATAATTTTGCACTTTTGGTACCTTTGATATCAATATTTCTGAAAATTTCATGGAAATAAAGTACACTTTGGTATTTTTAGTGATGTGATAAAATGTTTGAATAATAAGAATAGTTTTTCACTAAAATAAATGATGCATAATACTTTAATTACATCTTACTCTGTTTAAATAATCCTAATTTTTGCGAGTCCTGTCTGTATAAGGGTGTATGTACATATTGGAGAAGAATCGTTGACTTGTTCTACTTAAATGGTTTCTTGTACAGTAGTAGAAAGTGATTTTGATCAAACATCTTATCTGTCTACTATTGACATTGTCATCTTGTGTGTAATATAAATAATATTAATATATTTTAGATGTTTATATCATTTCAGAAACTTCAGTAATGTATATATATACAAGTAACATTTTAAGGTGGTCTTATCTATATTCCTTATATTATCAATATTTGAACAAAAGTATCTTTATTACAAAATCAAAAGACGGCGAAGCAACTGAAAGGGAAATTTTTCAAATTTTCCAACTTATTGTATTTAACACGATGAACCTATGAACAAATCTTATAATTAGGCTAATCATGAGTATTCTCAATCTTTGCATATGCAGAAGATGATAATTGAAAACCTGAAATTCAGCATTTGGAATGCTGAAATATCACGACTGACTTGAATAAATTTTGCTATTATAAAAAATAGCTAATATTTCAAATTAGGTTTCAAATTAGTTTGGTTAGGTTATTATAAATCTATTTACGCCGTTAAATTTACCTTCTCGGACAGTTCAATCTTTCCTCCACAGTCAATCCTCTGTCTTCGAAACTGATAGAGATATTCGGCTAGATTTTGGCTCACCATGTATATGTGCCGCTGCACGATAAACGAAGTATAGAGGACGCGCGGCATATATTATTTTAATCTTTAGAAATTTCGCGGATTTCGCGGCATACATTTACTTCGGCTTTTGAATGCATAAGCCACCCTTTAATAAGAATTTGAAAGTCAAATCACATATACCGCGAACGTACCAACGAATCTTTTCACGCACCAGAAAATAGAGAGTCGCATTTCGTTTAATTAAAATTTCGTTCATGTTTGCAAATGAGTTGGTGGAGTAGAACAAAAGAGACCCCAACGCGGATATGTCATTGTGAAACACGTGAAGATGGAAGGTTTAATTTACATGTGGATAGTTTCACCGAGAGTATCAGAAACTCCAATTTTTCTCCGCCTTTTTGCCTGTTCACTTTTTCCCCCTATTTCAAAACATTTCGAAAATAAACGTACCTCAGAGGGAAAATGCGTGATTATACGAAGAAAAAAGGTACGTTCGAAAACTTCGTTAAACGACAAATTTTTGAATAATTTCAAACTTTCTTTCTACCTATTCGATAATTGTACACAGAATTGAGGTACATACATCGTTTCTACTAATCTCAAGTCTATTTCGATTATTATTATTAATCTAAAAAATATATTTGTGGCACCGAAATCACGCGCTTCAAAGTGAAAATATCGAAATAAATGCAGCCCTTGCAAGTAGTAAAACAGATAATATCTGCTACTTTTCGTTAGCGTACAAAAATCCACTTGCAAGAGCTCCATTCGTGTCGTTTTCTTTCGCTAGCGAAGATTAATTGGATAAAAAGATTAATCAGTGAATCATATCGAACAAAACATAGAAACTAGCTTGTTATTTTAAAATTTTAATGTATCTCTTTAAAATATTCACGCAACGTAACACAGCATTCTAAGGATAGCTAAACTTTGATTTTTTCCTTCTGTTGAATTATTAATAATTAAACGTGGAAGATTTAAATGATACGAGCTTTTATTTGACTTTGATCTAACCGTATGGTCCACGTGTTTGTACCTTGCAGCACACAGACCAAGCATACAAAGGCAACACTCGAGCACGCATTGATTTTCACACCCGTCGACACCGGGAGTTAGGGTTGTGAAGTACTATGAGTGACACGTAGCTGTATCACGTATTCTAACAACCTCTAACATAGACACTATTAAACTGCCACTATCAAACGGCAGGGTCGCGTTGAGAAAATTGGAATTGCGTGAAATTAAATCGGCAGGAAGCTTTGTATTCCTTTATCGTGGCAAAATTGACTTCATGCATTATGCAAATTTAAAAAAAACACCCGTTCCTTTGCTTATACGTACGAGAAACTTTGGAAGTAAACAAATACAATAAATATAATAAATTCGATAATACATAGTTTTAAATTACAGTAAAAATTTTGAATGAAATTGTAACTTATATTTTAGTTAACAAAATTGGTATTCTGTTGTTTCTCGTTTTATATATAAGATAGTAATGAGATTAGCGTGAGAAAAAATTGCAATCTTAAAGAGACGAGATAAAGATAAGTGTAATTTTATATTTCCGTATCATTCGTAGATCGATGCTTGCATTGATTCCCTCTCCACGTGAAATTTCACCGTACGTTGCAAAATACATCAACATTCTATTTGCTTACAAAGCGTCTCAACCTGAACGCGAAATTATTTTCCAGCGGGGACTAATAAAGGGATGAAATTACTTCATAGAGATAAAACACGTTTCTGTTTTAAAGTATCTCCATCTATTTTTATAACATGTACGTAGAAAATGATACGAAGATATCAGTTATGTGCATAACGTTAGTCAAAGAGAGTAAAAGTAAAGGGTTGGAGAGGAAATTAATTGGTTTTTAAAATAGGAGGTCTTTCTTTGTGACAAAGTAATAGCATACCGTGTAAACTTCTGTCCATATAGGACGTCTATAATTTAAACTTCACTTTTAATACAACTTTCAAGACTCTTTCTTTATGATTCTTATTATTCTTATTATATTAAATTAATCCGTCGGAGAACGTATCTATTACTAGGTCGTACATTAATTGTCAACATAGTAAAGTGTCACAACACAAAAGTTATCATCGTGTTCTTTTGCACATTCTTCTAGATTTGTAAGAAATAAGAAATTGGAGAAGTGAAATTTAATTGAAGAATTGTATATTTCCTGGAACCTCTTTTTGTTCAAATAATTTTATTCGTTTTTATGGACTTAAATCATTAAGAATAATAATCTTGAAAATTTTTGTGCAAAGTATACAACATATTCAGTAATTTACATTGCATTCATTTCATGGACTATAATTCCTTAAACTCCTTATTTTATTTTCTTGTCTTATTTAATTATTCATTATTGTACACATAATTTTACGATTTTGAAAATTTTCATGTTAAATAGAATTATCTCTATCAATAAATCACACGATTCCAAATTTTCTAAGCAAACACATTACGTACTCTTACTTTGTAAAAATTACTACAAATTGCAAATCTCTCCTACTCCAATCCATTATCAATCGAAAAATTCTGTTTCACTCGAACTTCCAAAAAGAACGTACCACCCACTCCCACAAATTTACAAAAAATGACTACAAATTACAAATCACGCATTCCACAAAATAATTTGTCATTGGTAAAAACAATTCCCCTCCACGTAAAATCCTAATGAATCCAAATGGAAATTTGGACCGATCAAACGCGCATTACGAGTTGGCTAAAATTTCTCTACAATTTACATTAGGCCGCTATTCAATATCGAATAATATCGGCCGTCTCCTTTTGCCGGGCAGGCCGCGTGCCTCAAATAGAAACGAGGGTAATAATTTTCACGATCGATCGGCGACCTGAAGCGAGGCGATAAGAGCCGCAGAAATTCGTATTTGGTCAGTTCTCGGGCCCTCTCGATATTAGATGGATTCCCCGTGTCGCGCGCGCGCCACACACACACCTATACAGAAACACGCCGTTAGGTTGGTATTACTATTCGTCGGCACGTAACTCTTCCACTTAAGCGTGGCTGCGTCAGGTGGCGGGGGCTTCAATGTTACAAGGGTTTCACCCCTAGACCTGTCATACATATGTAAGCGTAATTACTCCAGCCAGCGCGAACCCTTAGAAAAATAAGCATCGAGGTAGAGACAGATTTCAGCTCACTGCCAGCCATTCAGACTGTTCGCCAGCCAAACAACGCCCGTTCGAACTTTTCCTACACGTGACGAGAGCAAAGGGTCCGGTAGTTTGGAGCTTTTCAGTGCGTCGTACGATTCTATGAGAAAAAATAAAGGAACAGGCTGGATGCAGGAATTTCAATTATTCGCTGGAACGTGTATGAAAAGTAGGCGGTTTTTAGGAATTCTTTTCGTCTGTATTTAAAGAGCTGTGGGATTCTTGGTTTGTATATTAGTTTATTGATACTTTGTTAATGCTTTCACGAAGTTACAGCAAGCAGTGAGAAATGTTTGATGAGATAGGTGTGTTAATGTGTGGCCACTTCCTCAAGTTTGTCCATTATGGTTGATACCAAAAATGAGCAGATTTTAGGAATTCTTTTCTTCTGTATTTGAAGGTCTACATGATTCTCGTTTTGCACGTTGGTTTATTGATACTTTATTAATATTTTCACAAAGTTATGTTAAGCAGTGAGAAATGTTTACTGAGATAGGTGTGTTAATGTGTGGCCACTTCCTCAAGTTTGTCCATTATGGTTGATACCAAAAATGGGCAGCTTTTAGGAATTTTTTTCTTTCATACTTGAAGGTCTACATAATCCTCGTTTTGCACATTGGTTTATTAACACTTTATTACTATTTTCACGAAGTTACATCGAACAGAGACAAATATTTACCGAGATAGGTGTCTTAATGTGCGATCACTTCCACAAATTCCTCCTCCACACTTAAAATGATTATCTTCGTTGTAATAATCAAAAATCAGAACAGCCGTCTCTATCGTCCCTAC